AATACAAAGCACTCTGCTTGCATAAAGATTTCCAGCCAAGATGTGGGGCTGGGGGAGGGGAAAAAAATAAATAATGTACACTACACTGGAACAGATGAAGGGGAAGGACTACCTGAAAAAAAAAACAACACTAGATGCTTAAACAATAGGTGTACGTCAATTAACAACATGCATTACGAAGTAAATTGTGGGAGAAAAAAAATATCAAAGAATGTTTTGTTAAATTACAATTTAAAAAAAAATTTACATCCATGGAACCCCTACAGTGTCTCTATAAATTGGAATACACTAAAAAATAATGAGTTTAAATCCTAGGAACTCTTCTAGGAGCTATGAATAAAAAAGCTAATTAACAAGGAGCTTAAGAATAAGCCCCTAAAGAGTAGACAGATGGTAAATAAATAAGTTCAGTAAATTTTAACAGGTGATAAGAAAATAGTCTTTATAGTGTACAGTGAGAACCAAAAAGAAGTAGCTAATTTGTGTCAGTAGCCAGGAAATAATTCCCAGGGGCTTGGACAAAGTCTCAATAGTTGTGTGTGGTGGGACAGGGAATTCTGCCAGTAAGACAAAGATGTTATAATATCAACAGAAGCAGAAAGTGAGGAAAAGAACAGAAACATGAGAGTGTTGTGTACTGAAAAAGAAATAATATTATTGTATATTTAAATCAGGAAAAGCGTAAGTCAGGGTGTATCTTTTTTCTTTACCTATACCTATACAATCTACATGCTGAACAAGTAATTTGAGAAGCTGGACTATGTGAAGAAGACTGTGGTATCAGGGTTGGAGAAAGACTCATCAACAACCAATATTATGCAAATAACATGCCCTGTTTGCAGAAAGTAAGAAAACTACACTTAGTGAAGAAAATAAAATATAGCTTTATTACGAGTTACATTCCAACATCAAGAAAATAAAAGCTCTTACAACTGGACCAATAACCAACATCATGATAGACAGAAAAGTTAATTTTACTTGGATCCACAATCAGCATCTATGACAGCTGAAGTAAAAAAATCAAAAGACATGCTGCATTGGGCAAATATGCTGTCAAAGACTTCTTTAAAGCACAAAACGGCAAGGATGTCTGTTTAAAGACTATAGTGCACTTGATCTAAACCATGATATTTTTAGTTTCTTCACATTCATAGTACAATGAAGAAGGAAGACCAAAGAAGAACTGATATTTCTGGTATGTGTTGTTGAAGAAAATAGTGAACATCATATGGATTGCCCAAAGAAAAAAACAAATCTATTTTGGAGGAAGTGCAGCCAGAGTGCTCCTTCGGAGGAAAAAATGATGGAATTTTGTGTCATGTACTTTGGGCATGCTGTCAGGGGCCAGTCTTGGAAATAGACATCATGTTGAGAAAAGTTGAGAGTCAGTGAATGATTGGAAGACCCTTCATGTTGCTATCAGCAGAAGCCGATTCAACAGCTCCTCATGATGACAAGAGAACATAAACACGGGGGACAGAAAAAAATGGGGAGAAACAAATGCTACAACATCAGCTTCTTGTTGTAGTTGTTGCATACTGTCAAGTCAGAACTGACCCATAGCTGACCCTCTGGTGAGTTGTCAGAGGCATTTAATCACATGGAAGGAGATTGCCTATCCTTCTCCAATGGAGCAGCTGGTGGCCTCGAACTGCATGCCTTCAGGATTGCAGTGCAGCTCCTTGTCACTAGACCACCAGAGCTTCCAGAATAACTAGATGGTGCCTGGTTACCATAACTGTTTTAATAAAAGATTTTATAGAAGAATCCTTATCAAAAGTGGCGAAACTATGAAACTGAATTTCAAATTCTCAATAGAATCTAGACTTCTGTCACCACTGAGAATGAATTAACCCTAAAATTAACTTCCCTGAGATAATCTTTAAATATGAAACCTTGAACTAAAACTATCCTGTGAAGTCTTCTTTAAAACAAGTAAACAAAGAGCTTACTTTAGTTAGGTACCTCTCCTTAGAGTGAGAACTCTGCTCTTTTAAGAATCATCTATATGAGATCAAACTGACAATGGCAACACAAAAGTTTAAACAAAAATATATTTGAAGGAGGGAAGAATTTCAGCTAATACTTGATTTTCAGACTAGGTATTAAACTAGTGCTTTCCCTAATGGGAGCTCTGGTGCCCTAATGTTAAGAAGCTGTGCTACAATCCTGAAGTTCAAATTCACCAGCATCTCATGCAACGAGGAGGAACAATCTTCTCCAATGCAATTACCGGCCTCTGAAAACTTGCTGGAGGGTCTTCTATGGGTAGGTTCTGACTCGACAGCACAGAACAACAACAATATTCCTACAGAGGCTGAGCTACAATCCCAAAGGCACATGGTTTGAATCTGCCAGCTACACCACAGAGGGATGGGAAATCTCTTCCCATGGGACTTACTGCCTCTGAAAATCCACTGGAGGGTTAGCTATGGGTCAGTTCTGACTTGAAAGCAAACCACAACAACAATTACTAAGGATGGGAGCACACACGAGAGAAAGTAAAAAGTGAAAAACTGAACTCAGGAGCACTGGAGTCACCATCACATTAATTTTTAAGTATTATGCTATGTTAGGTATTAAGTATATGAACACAAATGTTTTACTCAGAGAAGAACAATATGCAAGACAGAGCCTGAGCAAAAAGCAGGTTAGCACCATCAGACTTGCTTATTCATTCAATGCAGGCCACTGCACCTCCAGGGAAACTTCCCATCAACAAACTGGCCACACAGCAAATTCCATCAAAGGAATGATTTCAGTACATCATACCTCACCAGAGGAATGACATCACAACTGCCAAACCAGAGTCATGCTCAGTAAGGCTGAGACATAATCTTACACATCTCATTCTATAACTGTATAAGCCAT